GAGAAATGACAGCAGAAGACGGCCTAGGGTGGCAAAAGATGGGGAGGAGTAGCGCGTAACTACAGCGTCATAGAGCACTTTGGCCATTTTCAGCTGACGAAAGTGGGGGCCGCTGGTCGGGCGGGAGGTGAGAGCGGACTGCAAGCTAAGCAGTGGTGTCACGTGCTAACCACGGTCAGTCTTAAACTGCTGCCGCTCAGTCTCAATAGCGCTAGGACCAGGGTCAGTAGCCTCGGGCGGGGAAGAAAGGGACCCCGACGTGTGCTAAAAAAACGAGGCATCGTCCCTGGTAATGCTCTGCAGGTACAGGTGAAGGTCTAGAAGCCAGAAGCGGCGGCTGTAGCGGCAGCAGCGGCTGCAGCGGCAGCGGCTGCAGCGGCAGCGGCGGCGGTAGTTGCAGTAGCAGCGGCGGTGGTTGCAACAGTAACGGTGGCGGCAGCTGCAGCCGCAGAAGTGGCGGTTGTAGCGGCAGCAGCAGTGGGTGTAGCGGCAGCGGCAGCGGGTGTAGCGGCAGCTGTAGCGAAGGCGGCGGCGGCTGCGGTTGCTCGCGGGCAGCAGTGGCGCCAAGCAGTGGCGGCGCACTGGGCAGGGGCGGCGCAATGTGTGAGGCAGCGGGTACGCAGGCAGCAGTGGCGCACGGGGCAGCGGCGGGCCACGGGCAGCAGTGGCGTGCGAGGCAGGGGCGGCACGCAAGCAGCGGTGGCGGCGCACGCGAGGCAGCGCGAAGGGACAGGGCAGGGCGAACACGCAGGGCAGCGCGATCGCACGGGGCAGGGCGAGCGCACGGGGCAGGGCAGCACGCGGTGCACGGGCAGCAAGCAGGGCAGCGCGAAGGGGGCGCGCGGGGCAACGGAAGGGGCGCGCGCGGGGCAGCGCAAACGGCGCGCGCAGAACAATGCGAAAGGCGCGCGCGGGGCAGCACAAGGGGCCCGTGTGGGGCAGCGGTAACGGCGCGTGCAGGGGGCAGCGTGGGGCAAACCTAACCTAGGTACGCCAGCAGGTACGACAGGTACGGCAGTAGGTACGGCAGGACCTAACCTAGCCTCGGATACCATGTTAAAGTCATAAGCAATCGAAGTGGATTGGACTAAGAAGATGGGAGTGCAAGTAGGACACCCTATAAAGTTGTACCCCCTAAGGCTAGCCCCACTATAGCCTATCAATAAATATACATACAATTTTGACATAAGACCCATTCCTTCAGACTACCCCCCTCTGAAGGCGGGGGTTTCAGAGACGTGAGCGACCAGGTGCTCGAGTCGCTCACGTCTCCATCAGGTGCCTTTGCCAACACGGCAGGCAGCGAACGTTCTGGACCGAGGAATCTTCCCTCCTGTCCAGATTCTTTCCACAGCGGACCGTAGACAGGTGCTGGCAGGTACAGGATGGCAGCGCCATGCCAGCAGTGCTGCGAATTCCTGCCGTCAGGCACGAATTCATCGACACGTGGCAGAAATTGGGCCAAAACACAGTCAAGATGCCAATACGCGGCATTGCGAAATGAAATCGTGTTTGTGATGAGTTAGATTTGAACATGTTTTTGGAAATGCCTTTTGGTATTGTTCACCTAGACTACTATTTAGACATATTTGATAAGACCCCGGGGTCTTATATACGGGAGATTATGGGTACTTTGAGAGTGGCATGAAGAATAAGAATTATGGGAAGTTGCGCCACTACTGAGTAGCAGCAGCAGCAGACTGTCATGAAGCAGCATCCATGCGAGCACAAATCGTCCTCCGCCAAGTGACGAGGGTGAATAAGACCCAGAAGAGGCATGCGAAGAAATGTGTGCGGCGCCAGTACACTGCCGGAGAAATGCGAAGAACCAGTAGAAAAGGGCCTGTTGGGGATAGAGGGTAGAGGGTAGAGCGTGGGGCGTGAGAGAGCGTGAGAGGGGAGCAGGCCCTCAGATTGGTTTGAGGGCAGGCTGATCAATCAGTGCTGTGTGTAAATTTTTTTGGTTTTGCACTGATTTTTCAGCGCTCATGGTTGGCTTTATACTGAATTTGTCAGTGCTGATTTCCATGGTATGCTGAACCATCAGTGTAAAAAAAAACCTACAAATTGGGCTCATCGTGGCCGTGTTTCTGGGCTAGAGGGAGAAACGTGCATAGCGCGTTTTGTTGACCGTTATTTGGGATGAAGAGGCTCTTAACACACCTTTAATCAACATTAGGTAGTCCCCACGGGGTCACCTCCAAGGGTCCTTGGGTGCCTGGTAGAACTAGCCCCTATCCAAGGGTCCGTGTTTGAAGAGGGATTTCCCTACGTATGAAAATTATCGTGCGTACAAGAGCGTTCCCAAACTTCGTTGCGCAGCATTCGACGACGTATTGGCTCGTGTGCAGAAAAGCTCTTCACGTCAATACGTTGATAGAGCAACTTAACTCGTTGAAGAGATTCAGAAAATATTTCCACTAGAAAGGATTGATTACAATCAAGCACAAGCACACGTTTTATATTTCGCCTAACACACATGCATAGGGAAATAGCAAAGTAGTTGTAAAACGGAAATTTGGAACTTCGCCATGCTGTACTTGAAAACGGTTGCTCAACTCCTTGGGCAATTGGATTGAAACGCCACTTGAAAATAACTGTCTTCAAATTGCACTTGTAACAGTTGCCCCTGCTGACTCAAATCTGTGCACTCATGAGACTCGCGTATGACTCCAATGTAGCTCTCATGAGTTCATGCGAGCTCACAGTTATAAAACGGTTTTTACCATTGAGAAAACGGGATAACCGTTTTGTACCTGCGTCGAAATCATTCCGCAACGCGGTGTGACTTTCGTGCGCAATTTCTTGTTCCGTGAGTCAACTCCGAAAAACAGTTTTTCAACTGTAAATTCCGAGCACCCTTCGGAATCCCGCAGCACCCACTCGAAACACACGCGCACCCCTCAGGTGCGCAATCATGCACGACCGGACAAACTGGTCGTGCTGTACTGCGCGTGGGCAGGGCGATCATTCGCCCTGTCCTGTTGCGATCGTGGGCCCTGCCACGCTCGCAACAGTGCGCGAGCACACGCTCGGGCCCTCAGGGCCCACACACGAAATCAAGACCACACGCGCGGTCAAGATTTCGCGTGCTTGACCAGCGCGAAAGTCAACAGCACCCCCCTTGACCAGTCAAAGTATCGAGCCCCACAGAAAGGGTAGACTCGACGCAGGGCGTATTCGTTTATAGGTACAGTGATCAGTTTTGAACCCCGGATCGTGAGGAGGTACTAAATTTCCCGAAATGAACAAGCTGGACACGCCCTTAGTAATCTCGTTCGCTGGGGAGATGATGGAGACATCGACACACATTAACGACCTTCCCGACGACGTCCTCGCTAGGATACTATGGCATTGTGAGGAGGAGTCAACACCTTGGAAATCCGACAGTGACGCGTTATGGTCTCGGCATTCATTGTCGCCGAAGCCACTGTACCTTCGCTCGATAGTTTTAGACGAAGATCCCATTGCTGAGGAAGAGTCGAGTACAATATCGTCCCCTTCCGCCGTTCCAACCGTTGCCAAGATCTTCCTCGCGTCGTTGGTGTGCCGTCGTTGGCGCGATGTAGCTAAGCGTGACGTCTCCACCCTCCTCGTCGAACGAAAACAAGCCATTTCCCTCCAAGAACTCTCGAATACCGTCGCGCGCTTCCCGAACCTTACCCATCTCCACCTGTGCGACGATAGCGTGGAAACCCTAGACGACACCTTCCTCAATCACCTCGCATCGGCGTGTTCTAAGCTCAAGATTCTTCACGTGGGACGCGGGATCACTCAGCATCGGGACTATGTTGGGCCGAAGCATGAGCACCCGATCACGGAAGCTGGCCTGGCTCGCTTCTTCCAGCGATGCACTCAGCTGGAGCAGCTTTCACTGCTCTGCCTCCATCGGGACGTCCACCTACCCGCTTCCTTCTTCCACCTCACGCGTCTACACACCCTGGCGTTAACAGCCGCCTCAGCCTTAGAAGCTCCAGATCTGGAGAGCCTCGCGTCTCTCACCCATCTTCACATCGCCTCACCGGAGTTGACCGAGGAGCAACTGGCCAACGTACGTCGTCTTCCCAGCATCACCAACCTTTCACTCTGTGCCGGGGCCACGTTTTCTCCTGCCAGTGGTGACTCGGGCTCGGCTGCCTTAGCCATCGCACAGCTACCGTTGATCAAATCGTTGGACACTCGCCACGTGTTGCTGTCGGATTGGCCATTGGTCAGTCCTGAACGGCTGCAGATATCAGATTGCAGAGAATTGAAGCGGCTTCCGGACAGCACTGCGGAGTTGTTGCCGTGTCTGCGTGAGCTGACCGTTTCCAGGTGCGAGGCCTTGGAGGAGCTGCCGGAGGGTGTCTGTTCCCTGGAGCACCTCGACACCTTGTCACTCATCAAATGCGACCAATTCCGCTGCCTGCCTGAAAGAGGTGGGAGATTGACTGCTCTGAAAACCCTGGTTCTGAATCATCTGCCGCTGGCGAGCCTGCCTGCCTCCGTCTGCCAGCTCAGCTCCCTAGAGACCTTCTTCCTGCTCTGGTGCGGCTCCATCCGTGAGCTGCCAGCAGAATTCTTCTGCCTCACAGCTCTCACGACTCTCTGCCTCGTGCAGCGAGTGGCGCTTCCAGCGGACATAGGACGCCTGAATAACCTCCACACCCTGGTTCTGAGAGACGCCTTCGAGCATCGGCATCTCCCGTCCTCGTTATCCGAGATCGCGTCCCTGACGAGGCTTGAGCTGGACGAGTGCGGTGTGGAGTTGCTGCGAGAGGGCGTGGGAGAGCTAAGCAACCTGCGCGAGCTGCACATCAAGTTCTGCCCGTATCTCACAGCCCTTCCTGCGTCCGTGACGTGCCTGACTGCCCTTGAAGCTCTCACACTCTCTGGCTGCGAAAACCACAAGGCTGGACGGCTTGACACAGCTCAAGCGCCTGGAGCTGACCTGTGACATGCTAGCGCCTCCAATCCTGCCGCCTTCAGTTGAATGGCTGAGATGGGGAGGGTACATGCAGGCGATGCTTCTGCCAGACGTCTCCGGGCTGACGGGGCTTCGAACGCTCGTCCTGGACGGCGTTGAGGTGGCGTGTGGAGTCGCTGTGGGCACGAGCCTGTCGCACCTGGAGCATTTACAACTGAATTTGGCAGGCGGTGCCGAGGAGCTTCCATTCGCCTTGACGTTCCTCTCCCGCCTGCGCACGCTGGTTGTGAACAGCGTGGGGAATCGCCTAAAGCTGCCGGCTGATATCGGGTCGGCACTGCCGCAGCTGCGGAAGCTGAAGCTGTTAAGTGCGGACGAGTTGAGGGAGCTGCCAGCGAGTGTGACGGCGCTGCAGAACCTGGCGTTCTTGGGGGTTTACGGTGCGCCCAACATGGCTCCTCTTCCGAATGACATCGGTGCCTTGACCCGGTTGCGCGAGCTGCACCTCAGTCGCTGCGAGCAGCTTGAGCATCTTCCTGCCTCTCTCACCCAGCTTACCCGCCTGAACCAGCTGTCGATTTCAAAGTGCCCCGTTCGCTCCCTCTGACCCACCTTTTCCCAGTTCACGCGGCTCAGATCCCTCTGTTTGTCAGGTTGTGCGCAGCTGGAGGCATTGCCGGGGGATCTGAGTGAGCTGAAGGTGCTGCGGATGCTGGATGTGAAGGGCAGTGATGGGTCTATGCTCCCCAGAAGCATCAATGAGGTGTACGGGCTCAAAATATCCACATAGGTTGGCACCAGTAAGGTACTATGGCATGGTATGTAGCATCTTTTTTATAGGCGGTTTGCGTAGCTGTGATATGATGTTGTCAAATGCATATAATTGTTATAGGCTGCAGTGAGGTACTCCCTAGAGATTACAACTCAGTTAGGGTTGCTACTTGTATTGCTTCTCAACCCTAATGCAGACATTCCGTTGCTTCTACTTCTGAGATGGTATCATGAGTAGGTACGCTCCTAACCTAGCCTAGCCTAAGGCCGCTCCGTCGCTCCGTGGTCGCGCCGTCGCTCCGTAGGTTCGTTCCCTCGCCTCGCCTAGCCTAGCTGGCTCCGTCCGTGGCGCCTCACGCCCTAGGTTCCGCCCTCCCTCCTAGCCAGTTTCCGCGCGACCCTAGAGCCCGTGCGCCCTGCCCTAGCCTGTCGCGTAGCCCGTGCGCCCTGCCCCAACCCGCCGCGTCGCCCGTGGCCCCTGCCCCAGCCCGTCGCGTAGCCCGTGCGCCCTGCCCCAGCCCGTCGCGTAGCCCGTGCGCCCTGCCCCAGCCCGTCGCGTCACCCGTGCGCCCTGCCCTAGCCCGTCGCGTAGCCCGTGCGCCCTGCCCCAGCCCGTCGCGTCGCCCGTGCGCCCTGCCCCAGCCCCTCGCGTCGCCCGTGCGCCTTGCCCCAGCCCGTCACTGTCTTGTTTCGTTCTGGTCCTCGTTTTGCTCCGCATGTGTCTGTTCTCCCGCCACCTCCTGCGTCGTCTCTAACTGTCTCCTCTCACCCTATCACTGACTACTACCGTGCTGCTCGTCCTGTTGTCTCACGTGTTCTCGCCTCTCTTGTCACCGACCCTCGTGCCTCTTCGTCGTTTGTCTCGGCTCTTACTGCCGCTGTCGCTGACTTTGCTTCCACCCGCCGCCTTGACTTCGCCACGCGTGTAGTGGCTGCTCCGCCTGCCCGTCCTCTGTCCGCCGGGGGTGAGTTTGCCCTTGGCTGTGATGTCCTAGAGGACAGTCAGTTTGAGCTGGAGTTCTTGGCAGCCGCTTCTCCCTCTCTCTGTGCCATGCTGCTTTCCCCTGAGGGAGACCCCGACGCCCTTGACATTCCGACTCCTCGCACGTACCGTGAGGCAGTGTCAGGGGAGTGGGCCTCTCAGTGGAAAGCGGCTATGGACTCAGAGTTAGCGTCTTGGAGATCCACAGGCACCTACGTCGACGCAGTTCCCCCTCCCAGGGCGAACGTAGTCGACGGCATGTGGCTCTTCAAGGTGAAGCGGTCGCCTGGATCACCGCCTGTGTTCAAGGCGCGCTACGTGGCTAGGGTTTTCAGTCAGCGTGAGGGAGTTGACTTCTGGAGCTGCTGGCACCACCTCCAGTGGCAGCACCTCCAGGGCAGCGCGCGCCCTAGCAGAGAAGCGCTCGCCACCCGGGCATAGCAGCGCACGCCCCTGCCCAGGAACGCGCACCCCCGCCAGGAACATGCGCCCCTGGCCAGACATGCGTGCCCCAGCCAGAAACGTGCCTCACGTACCTTCCTAGCCGCCCACACCTCCTCCTAACCGCCCACACCTCCTCCTAACCGCCCACACCTCCTCCTAGCCGCCCACACCTTCTCCTAGCCGCCCACACCTCCTCCTAGCCGCCCACACCTCCTCCTAGCCGCCCACACCTCCTCCTAGCCGCCCACACCTCCTCCTAGCCGCCCACACCTCCTCCTAGCCGCCCCCACCTCCTTCTAGCCGCCCACTGGCACCTCTTGCAGCGGCTGGCACCTCTAGCGCGCCACGGCCCGTAGCAGGCCGTTCTCGGGCTTTCTCACCGTCGGTTTTCCCGTTCCCTACCGTTCCTGATCCGGTAGCTGCTGGCCACTGAGGGCACTTGTGGCAGTCGTGTCTCCTGTCTCCACTCCGACCGTGGGGGCGAGTTTCGCTCCGGCATTCTTCGCGGATTCTGCGGCGAACAGAGCATCTCACAGTCCTGGACGCTTCCGGAGCCCCCACAGCAGAATGGGGTTGCTGAGCGCCACATTGGCTTGGTCATGGACATCGCCCGCACGTCCATGATCCATGCCCGTGCGCCCCATTTTCTGTGGCCCTACGCGGTTCGCTACGCCACCCGCCAGCTGAACCTCCAGCCGCGTGTCTCGCGGCCAGAGGCTTCACCGACCAGTCTTTGGACCGGGTCCCCTGGTGTTGGGTCGGCCTTTCGTGTCTGGGGCTGCCTTGCGCTTGTCTGCGACACAGCTGCGGACAAGCTCTCGGCTCGCGCCACCCCCTGTGTCTTCATTGGTTTCCCGGTGGACTCTCCCGACTACGCCTTTTACCACCCGCCCCTCCACCAGTTCCTAGACTCCCGTGACGTCCGGTTTGACGAGTCAGTGTCCTACTACGCTCGCTACCCCTGTCGAGGTCTCCCGGTTCCCCCTCCTCCCCTTTTCCTTGCACCCTCTCCTCCTCCTGCTCCCGCTCCTCCGGTACCCCCGCCCCCCCCTGGTCCTGCCCCGTCAGGTGTGTCTCACGCCACCCCTCTACCCTCGGTCGCGCGTCAGGTAGCGTCTCCCTCCCGGCAGTCCTCCTCACAGTCCCCTCAGCAGCCTTCGGCACTTCCGCGACTGGTTTCTGTGGACTCCGGGGGTGTTGGAGCTGGAGGTGCTGCCACTGGAGGTACTCGTTCTGGGGGTGCTCTTTTGAGTGGTGCTGGAGCTGGAGGTGCTGGCACTGGAGGTGCTAGTTCGGGGGGTGCTGGAGCTGGAGGTGCTGGCGCTGGAGGTGCTGGGGCTGGAGGTGCTAGTTCTGGGGGTGCTGGCACTGGAGGTGCTGGCGCTGGAGGTGCTAGTTCTCGGGGTGCTGGAGCTGGAGGTGCTGGCGCTGGAGGTGCTAGTTCGGGGGTGCTGGAGCAGGAGGTCCTGGCACTGGAGGTGCTAGTTTCGAGGAGACGAGAGTTGGAGGCACTACTACTGCGCCTCCCCACCGCCACGACACACGTCTCCAGGCGGCTCGCCGACGTGAGCATGAGGAGCAGGAGCGGTTGGAGCAGGAGAGGCAGGAGCTGCGGCAGTTGGACCTGCAGGAGCAGCAGGAGCAGCAGCAGCAGCAGCAGCAGCAGCAGCAGCAGCAGCAGCAGCAACAGCGTTCGCCGCAGCAGCCACTTTTGCAGCAGCTGTTCCCACCAGTGAGTGGCCTTCGGGCCCTTGGTCTTCCCTCCGCTCCTCCTGTCCACTCACAGTCTCCTACCGCGTACGGCCCTACGTTTCCTCCTCCGGACTCGGCTCCGGCTGTTTTCTCTCCTCCTCAGTCACAGGCGCCTCCTCCTGTTCTCCCGCACGACTGGACCACTCGTTGTCCTCCGCGTGATCGTCCCTCGTCTCTTTTTGACGACCTCCGCACTGTCTTGTTTCGTTCTGGTCCTCGTTTTGCTCCGCATGTGTCTGTTCTCCCGCCACCTCCTGCGTCGTCTCTAACTGTCTCCTCTCACCCTATCACTGACTACTACCGTGCTGCTCGTCCTGTTGTCTCACGTGTTCTCGCCTCTCTTGTCACCGACCCTCGTGCCTCTTCGTCGTTTGTCTCGGCTCTTACTGCCGCTGTCGCTGACTTTGCTTCCACCCGCCGCCTTGACTTCGCCACGCGTGTAGTGGCTGCTCCGCCTGCCCGTCCTCTGTCCGCCGGGGGTGAGTTTGCCCTTGGCTGTGATGTCCTAGAGGACAGTCAGTTTGAGCTGGAGTTCTTGGCAGCCGCTTCTCCCTCTCTCTGTGCCATGCTGCTTTCCCCTGAGGGAGACCCCGACGCCCTTGACATTCCGACTCCTCGCACGTACCGTGAGGCAGTGTCAGGGGAGTGGGCCTCTCAGTGGAAAGCGGCTATGGACTCAGAGTTAGCGTCTTGGAGATCCACAGGCACCTACGTCGACGCAGTTCCCCCTCCCAGGGCGAACGTAGTCGACGGCATGTGGCTCTTCAAGGTGAAGCGGTCGCCTGGATCACCGCCTGTGTTCAAGGCGCGCTACGTGGCTAGGGTTTTCAGTCAGCGTGAGGGAGTTGACTTCTGGAGCTGCTGGCACCACCTCCAGTGGCAGCACCTCCAGGGCAGCGCGCGCCCTAGCAGAGAAGCGCTCGCCACCCGGGCATAGCAGCGCACGCCCCTGCCCAGGAACGCGCACCCCCGCCAGGAACATGCGCCCCTGGCCAGACATGCGTGCCCCAGCCAGAAACGTGCCTCACGTACCTTCCTAGCCGCCCACACCTCCTCCTAACCGCCCACACCTCCTCCTAACCGCCCACACCTCCTCCTAGCCGCCCACACCTTCTCCTAGCCGCCCACACCTCCTCCTAGCCGCCCACACCTCCTCCTAGCCGCCCACACCTCCTCCTAGCCGCCCACACCTCCTCCTAGCCGCCCACACCTCCTCCTAGCCGCCCCCACCTCCTTCTAGCCGCCCACTGGCACCTCTTGCAGCGGCTGGCACCTCTAGCGCGCCACGGCCCGTAGCAGGCCGTTCTCGGGCTTTCTCACCGTCGGTTTTCCCGTTCCCTACCGTTCCTGATCCGGTAGCTGCTGGCCACTGAGGGCACTTGTGGCAGTCGTGTCTCCTGTCTCCACTCCGACCGTGGGGGCGAGTTTCGCTCCGGCATTCTTCGCGGATTCTGCGGCGAACAGAGCATCTCACAGTCCTGGACGCTTCCGGAGCCCCCACAGCAGAATGGGGTTGCTGAGCGCCACATTGGCTTGGTCATGGACATCGCCCGCACGTCCATGATCCATGCCCGTGCGCCCCATTTTCTGTGGCCCTACGCGGTTCGCTACGCCACCCGCCAGCTGAACCTCCAGCCGCGTGTCTCGCGGCCAGAGGCTTCACCGACCAGTCTTTGGACCGGGTCCCCTGGTGTTGGGTCGGCCTTTCGTGTCTGGGGCTGCCTTGCGCTTGTCTGCGACACAGCTGCGGACAAGCTCTCGGCTCGCGCCACCCCCTGTGTCTTCATTGGTTTCCCGGTGGACTCTCCCGACTACGCCTTTTACCACCCGCCCCTCCACCA